ACAGAATGGCATCTTGATGATATATATATTGACACAAATACTAACTATGTAACCTATTTTAAAAATATATGCAGTTTCTTTGAACCCTTTTTAGCTACCACAGATTTGAAAACCCAAACTTGAATCATACATGAACTCATTTATACGTGTATTTTTAATTCAGCAATAACGCATCCAGTATATTTCATGTTCAAAACAACAGTAACAATAGACGGTACAATAGCGGAAACTATTTTGTTAAATATCATTTTTAATATTCGTTCATCAGATGTTCAAAAAGAAAATTTTGGAAAAATGTTTCACAATGAAAGAACGATAACAATGAATGTGTCTTATCTTTAATTCAGTACATTATATTTCATTTTTTATCAATCAATACGTTAATAGACATACATGTTTCTCATTAAAATAACAGATGGAGATGACAAGTTGTATTAAAGATCAGAACTCCACAAAACAATACAAAAAAGTCGGAGCAAAGACTGGTCTCCAAAATATCAGAGGTGGGATCAGGTGCCAAAAAAGGAAATATATGCAATAATATCATAAGAATCCTTCAATGAGTTGCAGTTTTTTTCTCACATACAAATCTGTTCAAACTTGACATTTCTCATTTGCAACAGACAATATTTATGTAATGATTAAAGATAAGGGTTTTGTAGAGCATACATGTAAGCCTGGCCCAGCAATGTATATAAAGTTAAGGATTCTGCTACAGGATGAGTAAAAAAATCATCCTGGTCGACTGGTATATAAAATTATTAACACTGAATTTTGAGAATTCCTTCCTTGGAAAGTAAACAGTCCATTTTAACAATGAGCTTTACAAACAAACGCTTTTTTGTGACAAGCTAATTTTTCATAATCATTGCATATTGTTCATGTAGTCTCAATTTTATCAGTTGGGTTTTTCCCTAGTTTGTTTGTTTGTTTGTTTTTTTTTTTTGTTGTTCATTTTTTTTTGCTTGTTTGATTTTTTAAGGCATAACATTAAAACTGAAAAAGAATCACTAGATTATTTCATTAGCAGTGTTATGTGTGAACGTATTCAACATGATTTAATGTCTTATTTAAGTTGATTAGTTCTTTGGCATAAGAGAATTCTATTTTTTGTATATTCCTCAATCAAAACATAAATAATTTTTTTTTAGATAATATACAGTGTAATTAGTTTACGTAAGCTTAAATTTTTCCAAATGATTCGTGTCAACAATCTTAGCACAATCATGATTCCGGAAAACTCTAAAAATTGCCAATATCTTCTTAATTATTCATCCCTTTTTTTCATTACTATCACGTAATTCCAGGAAGTCATTTACGGTGGCGTTTAGGGTTTAGGATGAGACATAAATGTTTATGTTTTATTCAATTTTCCGTCGATGACTCTTTAAAATATGAGTATTGGTATTAATACCAATACAATTCATTTTAAGGTTGGAGGTTTTGAACCACTCAGGGTTGTGTCCAATTTGATAATGTTCTTTGAATCTGATCTAAGAAAACAATTGATAATAATCATTATAACTCAATGTGTTTTGGCAAATGATAGATGTACAAAATCAAACGATAAAAAAGAAATAGGGAAAAAGTTACCAGTTTCTCCTTTCGCAGTGCATGATGACATCGGACTCCAATTGTGTTTTAGAGAATGTGAGGCCTTTGCCATGTGTCTGTCAATTAATTTCAGTCCCAGGTTTTTAAGATGTGAATTGAATAGTCAGAAGAAAAATTGGACCTCACCTTTAGTTGATGCTGATGAGTCTATTTACAAAGAAATATCAGATGTTGTAAGTACTATTAATAATCTATGCACTGCCATTTTTTGTTATTTTCTCTACATGTAAAACATTATTTTGTGTGTGGAATTGACTAACTTCAATTCTATATAATATTTCCTAAAATGTATTTCATGGCTTATTATTCTAAATTTTAAATGAATTCAGTATAAAATTTATGAATTGTAATAAAAGTCCCCTTTAGGGTTTTTGTGTTATTAAGCTGCACTTTAAACCTGGAGAAAGAACAAACTAAATTGTAATAGAGAACATGTTAAATGACACCTTCATTGATATATATCACGTTTGAGTATTGCTTAAGTGACATTACTACAATCTAAGCACTTTTGGCTAATATAGATATTTAAAACAAGCAATTTATCTTGAATTTAACAAGCTATTTTGGCATAACGAGTGTCATTGGCGGCTGTAAAATCCAGCGTTTTAATTTGGTAATGATCAATAAAGTTAACAAACCTTTTTTTTTTTTTAATCCATACTTCCGATAGATTTTTCTACATACATGAGGAAAAAATGCATCCTCTAGATTTTAGTACGTTTAATGACGGCTAAATCAATTGTTTGATTGAAAAACCAACAATAAAATAAAATATATTGTTAAACAACAGAAATATTCGAGGTGTTTTTAAGGTCTTCCGTCTTCAGCGGAAGACCTTTCTGTTATTCTTAGGTTTCTTTTTCACTTTTATTATTGTTTTTTTTCTTACCGATTTTGTGCACGCGATTTCTCGAAAACGGCTCGATGGATTTTCATGAAACTTTCAGGACTCATGTATCATCACTTGAACCTTATGCGTTTTTTTTCTTTTTTGATGACGTTACTTCCGGTCTGAGATATTGCCGATTTTATGAATTTTAAAGGGTTGTGTTGTCCAGAGTTTTTCTGAAAAAATGAGTTGAGATAGAAACATGAAACTTTCAGGCATGATAGACCTATGTCTGCAGATGTGCCTTTCGTATTTGGCTTTTTCCGGAAACGCCGTACGTCGGCGGTCGCTATGGTCCGAAAAATGGTCTATCATGAATTTGAAAAATTTAAACACTTTTTCAACAGCATTTTTTTTTACCTGTAAATATTTTATCAAAACATATAGAATAAAAGTTGTTAAGAATGTCACGATCTTTCAACGGATATCAACGATAAGGGACTGGCCCCTAAAATTAAGGGCCCAGAGGGGCCGAAAGTTTTTTCCTTCTATCTCAAAACGTATTGAGAATTTGTAATACGTCAGAGAAGCAAAGTTGTTCAAAATGTCAAGCTTAATCTATTAAGGTAATCAAAAAACGTCCGACGTCGTCACTTCCGGCCAAACCGGAAGTAGTCGGAAAATGCGTATTTTTGCCTTTCTTGACAACTTTTTTGGTATTATATGACTCTTGGAGCATAAAAATTAATTTTCCGTCCGTCGTCGTCACTTCCGGTTAAACCGGAAGTACCAAAAAATTGATTATTTTTGCATTAATTAACATAGATTTAGAGGATTCAAACCAATTTTGTGCGTTATTTCTCATTTTTGTTAGAAATGAAAGCTACTTCCGGTCAAACAGGACGGAAGACCTACTCGTTGCTTTGCAACGAGCTTTGCTCTAGTTATTCTTTTTTTTCTTCTGCTTCCTAGACCGCAACTTTGAGTCCTCATATCTCACTCATTTCTCAACGGATTTTGCTCAAATTTTTAGAGATTATAGACATTTATAAACTCTATCAGAATGCTGACTAAAATTTCAAAAAGTCACTTCCGGTTTTGAGTTATTCCCCTTTAAACGAAAATTTATAGGCTTTCGTTTCCAGACAAAGGCTCAGAGACGGCTAAAGCTGGAGCAGAAATTCTACTGCTTTTAGGTAACAGAAGGATTGAAGTTGTGCACATCGGTTTTTGTTTTTCGATTTCTTTATTCAAAATGGCGCTATAAAGGGGTCAAAAATTAGAACGCTTAACGTAGCTACGGATAGCGATCACGTGACATTGCATGTGAATTCTAAATTAAGAATTTTTCGGTTGGCTTATTCCGGAAATGCGCATTGTTCAATATGGCGGACTGCAAGTTGTAAACAACGTGCTCCGAGAAAAGTACAAGAGAAACGTTATAGGAACGCTCAGCTGTAAAGGTAGATCAAGTAAATTAGAGCGAATGAGAGAATACACATCTTAAGAAACAGAAAACTATAAAACTTTTTTATGAACTAAAATGTCTGTGTATCGCAAACGACCGACTAGCACCCCCTATTCTAAAGCAGACGACGCTGCTGATTTGAATCTCAATCATGCTCTGACATGGATGAAATCGAAAGAGGGACGAAGATTTGCTGAGATGAGGAACTTGACAAATCAGTTTTATGCTCTCAGTCACAGTGATATCGTTTGTATCTTTTCCAAAAACTTTGAAAGCGATGGTGACTAGGTACTTTATTGTATCAATACATTAGGCCTACATGTAAATGGGTCTGATAGTACTGTATTATTTATGGATTTATCGACACTTTCCACGGGAAATCCCGGCCCCGAAAGTAATACGATGGAGAGGCTTATGATCACTGTTGATATCAACTCAAAAGTAGCTCTTGGTAAGTCAGATCTATAGATATTTACATGACATACTTTCATGATAATAGGCCTATTTTAATTCAGCATTAAACTTCACCCTTATGAGTATTAGTAAATTAAGAAAATGTAATAAAGGGACTGTCATTCATTTGATGGGGGTGGGAGGGAGGGGCAAATTTCATGGGTGTCAGATTATGTATTTACAGTGAAGGACAGATAATTTATTTTTATTTCCAAGATCACTGGGGGCTAATTTTTGTCAGATTGTACCTAAGATATATTTCTATTCAAAAAATTCTACATTTTATAATCATTTAGGGTATTTCGATTCACCTTTACAGTATTTACATTTTGACTTAAAAAAATAATTTTGGGATAAAACATGTTTGAAAAGTAAATTAATTTATCAATAATCAGGTAAATTTTGTGTATATTATAATTATTTTTGTTGCTCTGAGTGAGTGTTTCAGTTTGGTAAAATTTACAGTAGCCCTGCAGGGCAAGTTTAAAGGCATGTTTAGTAGTCCAAACTCAATATTCAGTTGTCGCGGGCCAGCGGACTACCCTTGGTGTCGAACCCTGGACAGATTATTTTTGTTTTTCTTCACTGGTAAAAACTGTGTCAGTGTGGTAAACATTGAAACTGTTTACATGTTGTTTGCTGGTCTGATGAAATTGACAAATCTTTATATTACAGCTGCTGTATAGTTAGAATATTGGCCAGGCAGTGGGACATTTTAATTTAATGTTAGATTTACTGGTTAAAAAGTGATTTGCCAATCAATTAATATAATTAAATTTTGGTTTTGCTGGTATACATGTATATTTATTTGATCTATTTTTTTTTCAGCCATCAAGATGGTACTTTCTGGTATAGGACCACCAACCCATAGCAGACCAGGGGATCTTGATGTCAGCATAATAGTGATTATGGTTAAGTCATTTAAATTTTGCTATGATAAATTTAATATTAAAGTGTAGAAAATTGGCAATTTACATGTATGAGGTGTAAATTTTTGCAAGTTATATATACATGTATGTAATATGTAATGGTTTGGGCCATGGATATATATCGTCCAGGGTAGCTCAGTCTGTATAGCACATGACTAGTGATGCAGGGGTCTCAGGTTTGATTCCCGGTCCATCCATACATTTTCTCTTTTCCTGTTACATATACATGTTTTTTTTCACCGAAATTCTATATATAAGATATAGACATTGTGAGAAATATATTTTGATGTTGACTGCAGATAATATTGTATTTGTTAAATTTTATAAATTACAGATAGATTCATCAGTACAGAGTACAAGGTATATGAATATGAAGTTTAGACCATTCATGCTGATGATGATTCAACTACTGCAGCTCGACGGAAGAATGATTTTCCACCCCTTCCAACAAAGAGCAGGACAAGAATCGCTTGTTGAAAATAAACTAACATAGTCAATAGACTACTTTTCTTTGTCAGCTTTATATTACCGGGTACATGTATCTCTTGATTGAGTGTTACGTTTAAAGTGGAAACTAATCACTCCACATATAGATTTTTTTCCATTTTTCATATTTAATCTACCCTGTTTTATGTCTGGTGTGGTAATAGATCACTCCACATGCAGCCTTTCATGTTTAATGTACTATGTTATGTTTTGTATATGTCAGTTGCAGTATTACACTGCTGTAGAGTGTAGATTATTCTTTTTAAAAAAAATGTATGCATAATTTAATGTCGACTTGTGATGTCGGGTTCAGTAATAGGCCAATCAACAGATATTCTCTATTATGCATAATCTACACTGTGAGTGTTTTTCAGGCTTTTTAATAAGCTGCTCCAAATATTCATGTAGAATCTTTTTTTTTTTAACTTTTTATATGAAATGTCCTGCATCAAGTGTTTTGTCCCAGTGCAGCATTGTCATTTTGTTTTTAATTTTTAGGTATACGTAGTTTATGTAATTTTATGTCTCAGGTCAAGGACGGTTTTAGACTAAGTCCATTTCATGTTTTTTTTTCTCTGTTTAGCGTCCAACCTTCAATCAAAAACCTACCTACATGTACCTATTTGTAAATAAAAATATAGCCTAAAAAATAAAACACAGAATGTACGTGTATCATGTCGATAGTTATAATAATAGTGTAAATCTGAGGATTTTATTTCATCAATCTGCTTTTCTGGCAGAAATATCTATTCTTCAGCAAAATCAAAATAATAGATTTAAATGCCTAAAGTACACTACCTATGACATATTTATTGTACATATTTGAGAAATTGACAGAACTCAAAGATGTCAACAAAAATAATCAAGTGTATGGGTTCTGATTTTGTTTGATTGTCTGATACATGTAGGTGTCAAAAACCAAGGTGCGATTGAATGCCAAACAGAAAAAGACTTGGAATGGCCTATTAAATGTTATTATCCTACCTGCTCATGGAATAAAATGACTTTTGATCAATTTGAAAGAGTACTGATCATATTTTTTCAATGATATTCTTATTATTCTATGAAATAGAAATTTGTGAATTTTGCAGTGCTATGTCAGATGGATTTCTTTATTCTGTATGACCAAAATGTATTTTTTGACAAATTAAGTAGAATACATTTGACATGTTAATAATTAGGGGGATTTTTGACATTGCAATGAAAAAATATCAGATGCATAAAAGGAGGGGGTGTATTAGACCATTCTGTAACTTAATACATGTAGTTAATTGCCTCTTAATGCAACCGAGATTTCTGAGTGAGAAATAGTATTGGACATTTTTGTCATACAATATATTTTTTAGAAATCTATAAGAAAACATAGAATTTGTTTGCATGAAAGTAATCAAAAGGGATCACGTTGAAGAATATTTAAATGTTTTTTTTTTAATTACATTTTTGTTCAAGTATCTATTGTTGAAATATAAATTCATATTTTAATTTTGTTGAGGAACTTTTTATGGATAATTTCAATATTGGTTTAATTACATGTTTTATTGCGAGAGGACGGGGGGGGGGGGTTGTTACTCTATATGTACTGTTATTTCATAAAATATTTTCTTTAGTCATTTATTAGCAATTGATTTTTCTAATTTATTTCTTCATTTGTTTTTCCCTAATTTGCTCTGCATTTTTTTGAATAGCCACTTTAATCATTATTCTTACCTTTAGGATGGGAAACCAAAAGAGGGGGGGGGGGGGTAGTTGTGGACCATCTGTTACCTTTATTAGCCCTCAATGTGACCAAGATTTTTTGAGTGAAGAATAGTATTAGACAGATCTTTCATATAATGATAAAAAATAAAAATTCTATTGGACAGATTTTTTTTTAGAATTTAAAAAGTGTCAAATTTGTGTGCATGAAAATGGCCAAATTGGTCGAATTTCAAATGTTCTACATGGATTATTCTCTTAATTTATATATGTTCAGACAATCCATTGTTTAAATAAGTTAATAGTATCAATATTGTTTAAAAATAATTTTTAATATTGAATGCATATTGCACAATAAATTTTTTATGGGTAATAATTATCTTGTATTATGATTTTTGGAGTGACTGGAAAGGGGAGGTAACTCATTACCCCCTGGTTCCGTAATTTACCCACAATGCCATGTTCATATTTCGACTAAGTGTTCATTACACATCCCTTTACACCTTGTGAAAATTTCAACAAAATCTATTGACAGGTTTTTTTGGGGTCAGGTGTCCTTAGCCACCTTAAAAGAACCAAAAATTACTCATATTTTGCTTTTTATCTTCTAAACTAAAAATATTTTGTTAAAATATATAGAACATAATTTGTGCAGAATTAGTAGATCTTTCAAATGATATGTCGGAAAAAGGGCTGACCCCTAAATTAAGGGATCTAGAGGGGCCAAAAGTTTTTTCCAGATATCTCAAAAAGTATTGAGAATTTGTTATACATCAAAGAAGCAAAGTTGTTGAAAATGTCAAGCTTAATCTAATGAAGTAGTCAAAATACGTCCAGCGTCGTCACTTCCGGCCAAACCGGAAGTAGATGAAAAACGCGTATTTTTGCCGTTTTTGACAAGTTTTTGGTTAACATATGTCTCTGGGACCTTAAAAATTAATTTTCCGTGCGTCGTCGTCACTTCCGGTTAAACCGGAAGTAGCAAAAAATGGCTTATTTTTGCATTAATTAACATAGCTTCAAAGGATTCAAAGCATTTTTGGGCGTTATTTCTCATTTTTGTTAAAAATGAAAGCTACTTCCGGACGGAAGATCTACTCGTTGCTTTGCAACGAGCTTTGCTCTAGTTTATAGATATTATTCAACTTCAAGCACAATATGTAGTACTAAAATGAAGTCCATGCACGGGTGCTGTTGTACATCCGGAATTTTCTTTAATCTTTCATCCATGCGCTTCCTCCTGTATGTAAAATGTAAATAAATTGAACGGCGTGTATAAACCCATGTTGTTTCGGCCTAACGTGTTTTTGATCATGATCAGCAACCTTGGGGGGATATAAAATGAAGATAATGTAGAAAAACGATTAGCTAAATTAGGAGGGGGTCTTTAAAAAAAAATATTCTCACGAACTTCTGGGCAAGAATGAGAAACCATACGTACGAAAGCTTCCTGATATACATGTAATAAAGATTACTATTTTTCAAATCATGACCGAAATAGGTATTCAAAATTTAAAATAGGAAGATGTACCACCGCAAACAAAGTAATTATGTATTTTGGGGGTGGATGGGTTAGGAATAACATTGTCTTTTTCACTGTCCAGCTGTCCTTCTGCCTCTCAAGGTTTTCCCAGAACAGGCTTTAAATTTATGTAGAATCTGGGAGCTCATACTACTCGATACAAAGATTTCCAATGGCTCTAGGGTGTGTCATGGCATTGGTTCAAGACAATATTACGGCAAATTTAAGGTCACTAGAGAAAGAGTTAATGTTTTGTCCGAGCCATTTATATATGTAATCGAGAATATCTGGAAGCTCATACTTGATACAGAGATTTCTTGTGAGAAAAAGGTTTTGTATTATTTTGACTCAGAAAATAGTATAAATTCAACCTGGCCTTTGATCGACTGCTTATGGTCCTCCGTTTTCAGATGACTAAAAATAATGCCATTTTAACAAATTCAGGGTCACTGACAGAAAAAGCTGTAAAATGCCTGTCAGGTTTATGAATTTCTAATAAAAAAAAATTGTTTGAGATTGAGGGTTTGTCTTGACATATATTTAAGGTAATTCTGTATAGAGATCAGGGTCACCTACAGAAAAAAATATTTTCTTTTCCACACTACGAATTAATAAATAAAAATCATTGGAGGCTCGTACTTGAAACATAGATTATTCATAATTAGGAGATGTGTCATGACCTTGATGAAGGCAAATCAAAGTCACTGACAGAGAGAAAAAATGTTTAACCATAACTTTGTAATTAAGATTCACAAGAGGCTCATCCTTAGAATAGAGGTTGTTCTTATAAGAAAGTGAAGTGACCTTGACCCAAGGTCGGCACTTCCTGTCCACAGCTCCAACGGAAGACCTACTCGTTGCTTTGCAACGAGCTCGGCTCTAGTTTTTTTTGTTATTCCATTCTAAAACATCATGTTTAGATGTAATGAATAATGTTCACATAAGATGACTTTTTGTCCCTTTTGACAATGCATTTTTTATTGTATACGAGACTCTCGTTGACTGCGTCTCTGTCAGAAGCAAAGACATTTTCTGGCTAATTAATACATTATGTCGTAATGAATTGTCATTTTCCTGCTATATTACTTCGTATTAAGCGCAACCTCTGATCTCAAATATGCAATTTCCTTTAAAAAAAAAACTGTTTCTTCAAACAACACAGCGTGTTTTTGTTATTGTTCTTATCAGATGAGACCGCTCTTATTTCTGAAAGTGATTAAATAGACTTTTAGCATTTGAATTTCAAATCTGCAAATGCCATTGTCCAGTACGAGGGTTGTTCCCAACTTTCTAAGACTGAGTATTTTTGAAGAAGTTAGTGTATCTTTATAAAATTTTCAGGTTGGGTTGGATATAGCGGATTCTTGGCAGATAATTTACAAAGTTTTATCATGTTTACTTGAACACTTTCCGAGTACTGTAGACGTATATTTTCCATGGGGTCATAATTCCGCGGAATTTCAATTTCTGTTGGATTCGCGAGTAGAAAATTATGCGGATTTCTTAGACTGTCACTAAATGCCTTACTTTTATATTAAGTACGCTTAGACAAATTTCCGCGGAAAATTGATGACTACGTACATAGCGTTAATTTATACCATGCGGAAAAAAGTAGTTCTACAGTAATAATATTCAAAGTGATATCGTTCTCTAAAACCCGGAGTAATCGGCAACGTCAAAAAATACAAATGTCAACGGTTCAAAATTTTTTTAAGAAAATAATACAATTAGCAGAATCAAATTCTTAAATTAAACGAAAGGGTGGTAGTTATAAATGTGAAATATCTTGATTAATATATGATCAAACATTAAAATATGTATAAAAAAAAAAAGTATAAGCATGTACAGGTATGAATTAATAATAAGTTGAAAACGCCTTGTTTCTTCGGGCTTTTCGTCTCTTTTCTCTAATGGAGTCACAATGAAACTCTTTTCCCATATCCTAGCCCAGTCTTTTATTTTATTTTAGTTACTGTTATTCACATATACATAGAAAAACCGTTTTAGTCATTTCAAATACTAAGGACGAAAAAATGTTTCCTATTCTACAAAACATATATGACTTGGTCCATTTCTGAAATAGTGAATTCAGGATCAAAACGCGTGATCATAGTTCAGTGCGCCGCCTGTGCCAACGCTGCCGCCATTTCTCAAAAAGTCGGAGTTCTACCCCATGTATATAAAACGTTATAAAATTCATATTAATGAAAGCATAAACGCCAAAATTTGAGGAAATCTAGTTAATAAAACAGTATTTAGAATTTTCAATTCTATTAAAAAAAAGACGGGGTAGTTATTACTTTTCCGTAGGATTTCAAATATAATCTACCAAATCTTAATTGCAACTTTTGGATATTGAGCCTTTTTTGCAGGTTCTATCTACACCGGACAATGAAATGTGTCTTTTAAATTCGAATAATTTTTGAAGTTACTTAGTATTTGTCCATGAATTTATAAGATAGTGTTGGTTTAATCATATACAAAGTTTCTTTAATGTATGACATAGGGTTCCTAAAAAACAACGGAATTTTGGGACAAACCTCGAACATTGTCCTTAAAAGGCATTATTTAAGATAGGAAATGGAATTGGTTTTCATTGACATATTATTGCATCTGCATTAACTGGTACATGTACATGTATGCATTAAACATGGAATAGTTACGTGTATCCTAATTAATGTAATTAAAAAACTATTTCTATTTAACTGAAAGTAACACATTGCAATCGACCAGTTGCAGAGGCCAAGTGGTACGACAAACCAATTTTTAATTATGTTTTTGAATCTCAATTAAAACTACTTTCGCTTCCGATGTTTTTTTGCACCCAATCGATGTTCTTAATCGACCGAAAATAGGCAGCCTTAAAAAGTAAACCCGTTTGTTCTTCAAAGTGACTGATAGCAGAGCTCTAAAAGTTTTTTTTTTCGAGAATGTGAAGCCTTTACCAAGTGCCTCTCAATTAAGTTCAGCCCCAAATATATTACTATATATGTGAATTGAACAACTGAACAGTCAGAAAAAAATATTTGAGTTTATCTATAGTTGATGAGGACAATTTTATTTTCAAAGAAATACTAATTTCATAATGTAGTTTGTGTGTCTTTCAAACTTGTAAGTATGAAGTACAGTGTTTAAAGAAGAAGAAGGTACAGTTTAAGCTTTAGTGTGCCCTAAACATTTAATGTTCTTTTAAAAAGTAATGACATTGACTTTCATATAAGTTGATTGTATGAATAAAATAAATCATTCAATCATAAAATGATCACTCTGGAAATATGGTGTCATATATTTGGTAAATGTAAGTTGAAAGCAGCAAAAGTCTA